AAATATTTTTGAAACAATTTCTAGAATTATGCTCATCATTTAGAATAAGGATAATTGAATTTTAGAGAATAATTTATGATTTATCTTGATATATTTTGTCTCTAAATAATTTAAAATCAACCAAAAGAAAACAATAAAGGAGTATAAATATATATTTATATGGCTAATTGTATAATAAATAATGAATTCATCATTTATTAATTGATATTGTCATATAAAAATGATTTTATTAGTGATATACTATATTGATTAATATATTTACTGAATTGTCAAAATGAAAAGATAAGTTTAAGAAGTTATAATTTCATTTGAAAATTGAATCTTAACATGAATAATTTTAGTAGTAATAATTATATATGAAGAGATGGTAAGTATTTAAATTTGACTTCAACTAAACTAGAATTTAAATTAAATCAAAATGAATATCATAATAACTATTATATTAATTAATATTGTTTAAGAAATTAAGCATAAATTTAAAATTGGATTGTATTAATTAAATAGATTCATAACATTTTTGTGTTTGTTATTAGTATGTCTCCATCTTCTCATCATATCATTTTCATTAGATCCTCTTAGAATATAATATTAATGTAATCTGTAGCTTTGAACATCATTAAGCTTTTCATGTCAGACTTCAAGAGTAACAAAAACTCACTTATATTGCCATAAGAAATCTAAAAGTCGTTATTATATTTGAGAATCAAATAAGGCTGGTTCTAATTGAATTAGAGCATCATTAAAATATTAAGTATATATGGTGATTAAATAGTTGATAAGATGTATTCTGAGGCTAAAATTAAGTATATTATCCCAAAAAAGTAAATTTTGTAGCAGTCCTTATAAAAAGTGTTGAATAGGAACCTAAACTTAGTAGTAATAGTAAAAAGAATCAGAAATATATTTACATCGCCTTAACAAATGACAATACTTGGGTGTTAACTTTACAATAAAATTAGCTTTGAAGATCTATTAGACCTGGTTGTTTTACAAAGTTGAAATATTTTGTAGCTCAAGTTGGGTTAGTTGTTCAATATGCTATGATTAAGATTATATAGGGAATGGTATCAATGAAAGATAAGATGCCAAAACTTAAAATAAGGAGATCAAGTTCTATGAATAAACCTATTCCATCAAGGATATTAACATGAAATCAGCTTATATACACTACTTATGTCAAAGAAGAAAAAGTCAATATATAAGATTTATGCATATATTTTAAATTTCTTAAGATACTTGAAAATGGTTTTGAAATATTAGAAATAAAATTAATTCATATTATAATCAAGCTTCCCTGGACATTTGCAATTTTATAAGTTAATAATTATCATATCAATGGAATTTAAATTTAACTCTTGATATTAAAAATAGACTTCTTAAGTTTATTAAAATTAATAAGCCCATTGCATAGGCAAATTATGATTTTGATTGATTTACTCTAATATTTCATTATTCATAAATCAATCTATTATTATTTTATTTTAAATAAATTGTTGACACAGTAATTTAGTTTGAATAATTCCATTAATTTTACTTTGTTAAAGAATTAAAGTTACAGAATATTATTTAGATTCATTAAATTAAAGTGATTGAAATAATATATAAAGCATTACCAGCTTTAAAAGCACAATAATAAATCTTAAATAGTTTCATAAATATTTAGGCTAATAATAAAAATTATTTATTAGTTATCGTTTTAAAAAGATTATTCAGTCTTCAGAAACTATTCAAAAAATTAACATTAAAGTAATTAAAAAATTTTTCTTTCATTAAAATTTCATATCTAGTATATGGAATCCTGGTACATAAATCTCAAAGCTTTTAGGGCTTGGTTAAATTTCTTTATTTTAAAAATAACTTTATTAAAGTTCAACTAAATTACATATAAAATATTTATTTGTTGGTAAGTTATAGTGATTCATTTATAATAATAAGAAAATTTATTTTAGTTAAATATTAAAATTTACAATATTATTTGATTATGAACATTTCAAAGTGTTTATTAAAATTTTGTTAGATTCTACTCAAGAGATTCTTAAGGTCAAATTAAAATATTTTTAAAATAATGAATCTATTCAAGAGCTGAAAATTATTCTAATAAGTATAATCTGAATTCTAACCCTCCAAAAACTTAATATTACCTAGCCTCAAAAAAATCTCAGAGAAATACAAAATTTTAGGAAACGTTCAGAAGAAGTATTGGTAAGAGCTTTGAGAAAGTAGGGATGATTAAATAAACCACAATTAGTTATGAGAATATCTTTCCAACTTTCCATTGAATTTTCCTTGTTGCAACCAAATTGCCTTGGCTAATTATTAAAATTTTAAGAAATGAGATCTTAATTAATTCGTATTGTGGATCAACAACCATTAATTTAAGAATTAGAAAAATTAATAAAAGTGAAGCCTCAAATGTGCTTTTTGAAATTAAAGACCATTAAAATTTATTTAAAGGTTAAAGACTCTAAAATTTCATTACCGAAAAATCAAAATAAATTTCTTAAAGAATAAAAAAAATTGTTAGCTAATTGTTATATAATCTGAAATAACATTAACTTTTTCACTCCAAAGAAGAGGTCTATTTTTCAATGCAAGATAAGTGGATAGACAGATATGACTATTTGTAAATGTATAGGCAATCACAATTGCTACCTTAAAACCCTTGCAAACACTTTGAGAGAGGTGGATCAAAATCATGTGATAGTTTTGAAGTTAAACTTTTTGTTTTTCAGAAAATATTTAGAGTGGCACTTATTATGGAAGGATATCTGGGATTAAGTTAAATCAAATATAGGATGATAAACTTTGGATTTCATTTATTGTTCTTTAAAATCCTATTGATTGAATATGTGGAGGTAATTTTCATGAGCAGTATGCACTACCTTATCTAAAATATTTCTGACTCTTGTTATTCTACTTTCAAAGACTGATGGTAACTAGTGAGCAATCGCTTGAAATGAAGGTAAATTTTGAATTAAAACATCTTTAGGAACAATTTAAAGAGATTTTCTACAATTTTAATTTAATAAAGCTCTTTATCAAGATAATTATCCAATTTTTAAGAGTTTAAGAAGAAGGTTATTTAATTTATGTGTATTTCATTGCTAAGATTTCACCCAGATGTCTTGTGGATTCATCCTCTCTTAGGATTAATTGTTTTACTCAGTTTTTATTGGTTTGTTGCTTTTCATCTGATTTATATTAATTATTAGGATCAGAAATTTTAGCCTTAATCTTTAAAATCATTAAATTGATTGAAAAAATTGAAAGGCTATAGAAAAATATTATATACAAAAATGTTCATTTTAATAATTCTTTGATTTATTCGTTTTTAGAATTCATAAAAATCAAAAATAAAAAACATGTCATGATAATTATGATTCCAAGCTCTTTCAAATCCGAATTTATTTCCCAGAATATCTGATATTATAGGTCTGTATGATAACCAACTAGTATTCCGCATACCTATCTACAATAATGATAATAAGACTTTTGAATATTGATAAATGCAATTGTTTGAACTGAATAGTGAAATAATAAGAATTTATTTTAGACAGATAAAAAAAACATCAGCAGGACCACCAAATGCTCCTAATAAAAATTACCAATTACTTCAATTACTCTTCAAAATAATTCTAACCCAAGTATTTATTTTCAGTTTGAATTATTGAAATATCTAATTTTCAGGTTTATAAGAACCAGCATGCAATTGGGTTAGTAATGATAAATATTACTACTAGATTAGTTAAATACTTTAATTTGTAAAAGTAAAAAAAATTTATGTGTTATCAAATACTTTGTAATTAAAAAATAAATGAACTATACTTGGATTCGTTTTCTACTTGTTCCATTTGAAAATTGCATATATTCTGATAAAAGAAAATGCATTATTGTAGGTGCTTTGATAGCTTTTATGTTAGAAAAATAGTATTAATTTAGATGGCCATATTATTATCATTTGTGAGTCTTAGGATAGTATTTTTGATTTTTTTTTTGGAAAAATTATTGTTTTCCATAATCAGAAGCTAATGTTCATAGCAAATAAACCCAAAATAGCATCCTTTTGTTAATCTAGTCTTTCTAGCATTACTCTAATAAATTCTGAAAAATTCTAATGCAATAGTTTTCTTTCCTAATTTTTCTATATGAGAAATTTTTAATTTACATCTTGATGAGAATATATTAATTTTAGCCTGTTCTTGTTAAATGAAATTTAATAATAATTATATACCAACAGATTATGATAATAATCATAAATATGATTTGATTTTCTCAAAAAGTTACAAGCTAAATTTATATATTTATCGGATTTATCTTTTAATAAAACATTAATTGAAAAATGTTCTATTTAAGATATCAAATATTTTTAATTCATGCATACACATAAAATTTTATAAATAAACACAGTTATGGTAATCAATTTTAAAGAACTTGTTACAAGTGAACCTTATTTTAACGCCAAGTTCTAAGTACTTGGATAAACAAATTTCTGGATCAATATAAAATAAAAAAGAATAAGTTCTTTTAAATGTATGATCATATGCTAGAAAATTTTTATAAAATATGATTATACATGGGGATGAAGACATAATAATTATTTGCAATAGTTTTTTTAATGAAAGATTTTCATAAAGATAACTATTCATTATAGTAATGGCAATTTTGTTTTTATTATTGATAATAGCACAATCTATAAGTCAAATATTAGAATATACTTTATTTTATGTATATATTCTAAAGCATAGACCGATATTTAATGGATTGAATCTTTATTTGGATGGTTAAATTGACAGATTGTCCACTAACATCCTGCAGTTTAGTAATAATTTATCATAGGTGCTCATAAAACAACCTTAAATATATTGCCTTTTAAATATAAATAGTGCATGAGAATTTATGGCAATGTAATATAGCTTTATATCTAGATCTCAGAAGTTACTATCATAATTATATAGCCTTCTCGAGTATTTTTTTCCTTAGAGTAATTCTTGTAAACCAGTAAATTTTAAAACTTTATCTCTTATTTTCGAATGTGTTATTAAGAATTTAGATAAAATTCATTTTTTTTTTGCTTGAAATTTTTATAAAAATTTAATAATATCTTCAATAGATATGATAATTTTAAAAAGGTAGGATAAATTAATTGGTATAAGATATACTAATTGACCAATTGCGAATAGGATAAGATATACATTCCTCAATTTTTTCAAGATAGGAAGAGGAAACGATATTTAGAAGTAGAAGGATGGCTAAAATAAATCAATTGATATAAAAGAAGGCAGATAAAAAATGTAAATTTGAGCGGTATAATTTATTAAAATATTTAATCTGATGAAGATTGAATTTACTATATAATGAAAATGATTAAAATTTATATATGCAAATATAATAAATGAAATATGAATAAAAAATTATTAAAATAAACAACTATCTCTATTTTATTTAATTCATATTGTTCCATTTACCTTTAATAAATTTTTTTTTATTATAACATGGAAATCCTATTCTGAGAACCTATTTAAGAAAACTAGAATATCATTGCAGCAGTTATTCAGCATATAATTGAAAATTCAAAATTTCACAAATTTTCTTATAAACTCTGGGTAAAGGATAAACAAAAGGAAAATTTGTTTTCATTTGATATCTGATCAATTAATTGGAGAGTTTTTAATCGTTTTCAGCATTCATTTTTTTAGAAAATAACATATAAGCACTAATCTTTTTAAACTGAAATTCTAAATGTGTTAGGGACCAGGGGTTTCTGATATTCAAACCAATATTAAGCAAAATTTTAAAAATAAAAATAATAAAAAAATTTTCCTCAAATAATTTGATATTTTTTAAAATTTTAATAAGACAGACTATAAATCTACATCTTAACTCATACAATTTATTGAAAAATTTTTATCTTAAATTAACGAATATAAATGATCACAATCTTCTGAACGAATATAAATTACAACTCACGCTCATCTACAATGATAATTGAAACATGGAGGATCTTACATTTAGGGATTTGCTTTGATTTCCTATATCTTAATTCTTATGAAGAACATAATAAAAAGTCGAATTGAATAAGAAATCAATTGTTTCGTTTATTTTTGGTTTTTCCAATTAATGGAATAAAAGTGTAATCTTTTCATAACTAAGATTAGATAGTTAAAACAATTGCGACCAAAACATAAATAGAATAGTATCTATTTACTACAGAAATTGGCCATATTATTTTTGATATTTTGAACCATTCTTCTTTATAGATTAGAATAGAAGATATCTTGTACTTTTAGAGCTGATAGCTGGTAACAAATTATAACCTTTGAATAAATGTCCATCCTGTTCTTATATATTTAGAAAAAATTTAGTTGAATTATTGGTAGGGGATTTCAGATTGAGAAATATATGTAAAATTAATGAGAATGTCAACAATAAATTGTTATTAGTATATTTTTATAATTATCAATGATTTAGATTGATGACTAAAGCTGATTTTCAAAATAATATAGGTATGCCTATTAAATGAATAATTTGAATAAACTAGCAATTCTTTATAAACTTCAACTGGATGAAACCAATTTCAAAGAATGGTTTACTATTCAAAGATTTTAATTTGCCTCAATATAAAAATCAAAAACTGCTTGAATAATTTAAGGAGCTTAAGTAAGTTAAAAACTTTAGTCTTGAATAGAATTTTATTAGGAACTAATTATAATAACACTATAACATTTTATTGTCTTGTAAAAGAGCAATAATCAATAATGAAATCAAAAAGTTATTTTACAGAAAATTTTGACCAAGTTCAATATTAAAGAACTGTAATTAACCAATAATATTAATAAAGAAAAAGCACTTGGAAAGTTAAATGATTTGATAACATTCAATCCTAATTGAAAGAAAACAATTACAAACAGGTCAGTCAAGTTCATAATTGCCTGACTGTATTTTTAAAGGTTAAGAGGCTGAATGAACTAGAATCGATTAATAATGAAATAGAATATGCCAGTAATATTACACGCTTAATATATTTTAAAAAAAACTATTTTGACTTCAATAAAAATGACATTATAAGTAGTATTATGGACAAGGTAATGAAGAATAAAAGGAAAAATCAAAATTGGTTTGAATACGCTGACTGTACTAATCTAATTTAATAAGGCATAAGACGATATTATAGTGATCCATTTTACATCTTGCTAGTGTAATTACTTTTTTTCTATCATTGTTATCTGTTCATTTTTTCATACATTTTATAATTTTTATTTTTTAATATAAATTGATAGAATTAGAATTTAATTGTGATTTGATACTAAAGGCAATTAAATGACAAATAATTAAATTAATTAATTTAAATAACAATTATGAATATTTTAAATCAAAAATAAGTACAGGAAACTTAAGAAAAAACATGCAAAATTCATAATCTAGAATTCATAGCAGTTGATTTGGATTTATCAGACAAGGCATAAATTTAATTCTTTTGTGGTAAATGCTTAGTTGAGAAATTAAATAACAATAAAGTGACCACTATAGAGTAATCAAAAGATATAATCTTAAAAGTTAAAATTTAGTAAAAAGATTTTAAAACAAAAGAGAATTAAGCAAGGCTCACCTATTATAAAAACATCTTAGATCAAATCATGGATTTCAAAAGATTCATAGATGATTCATTAGAATAAATGTATAAATAAATATAATAATACATATTTCCAATTTAAAAAGAAAAATAAGAATTAATAGAATATGAATAATAATTAAATTATTTTGAAGATATAAAATAATTATCAGAATTATATTCATAAGATGAACAAAAATCAATTAAATTATAAGAAGATAATAATTTTATTGATGAAATCTCAAGGCAATTTGAACTATTGTTTAATTGTTCTGAGTACTTTTAGACTTTAGATACCTTTAAAAATACAAAAGAAACTATAAAAGATATTATCTAAAGTAATATAATTGAATTATTCCCCTTTGTGAATATCAAAAAAAATGATCCGGTATTTTTGATTTATTATTAATAGAAAACTCCAAGTTTAAATAGAATTTGTACTAATCATAAAAAGGAAATTATTATGATTGATATGGATTCTTAGAATAAGAAGATTGAAGATAGATTTGCATGTGTCGATTGTATTTCTTAGAATCCTAAGATTAAATATTAAACAATTGAAGATATAGATAAAGAATGGAAGGAATATAATACAGAGACTGATAAGCTGCTAAAGGAATATAAAAAAGAAAGTAGAGACAAAAAATCTGAATTATTCAACTAAATAGCACAAATGAGAAAGAATTATAATAAAAAATTGAATGAAATTAGTGATAAATTGATTACAGAATCATTCTTATGTTCTGATAAAATTAACTAATCAAATTAGATAAAGAAAATGTCAATATAAGCATTAAGTGATGAATAATTATTAAAGGATTTAAAGTAATTGATTGAAAAGGAAAAAGAAAAAGTATAATAAAGTTAAATAATAACAACTTTAAAAAATAAAGACTCTATATTTAAAAAGGAAATTGAATCTCAATTAGAATCTTTGTAATAATATGATTAATAAGATATTTAATAATCATTGGACATTCTCAGGGATATTTCAAGTATCAAATTATTTATTGTTTAAAGTAGAAAAAAATTTAGTTGGTTAGTTAACTGATATCAACTAAGAAATCTAAAAATGTGCATAAAAAGATGAAAATTATAAAAACCAAATTAATTTTATCAAAGAAATTTAAGAATTAATAGATTAAGCTAAAAAATATTAGTGTCAATTGCATCTATTTGATTAGGCTATCACTGTTTATTAATAGCATATTTAAAAGCTAGAATACATTTAAGAAAACATAGAGATAAAATCCAAAGATTAAGCAGTTAAATCTGAATAATTAAAATCCTAATACTCTAAATTATCAAATATTTTGAATGAATATAAGAAGATATTTGATAATAATAGTACAGACTTAAAAAGGTTTTGCAATATTTAGTAAATGGAAACAGAAATATTAAAATTAACAGAAACTAATAAAAATTCAGAAATCGAAAGTAATTCTCTGTAATTATAAATAGAAAATAATTTAATTAATTCAATGGAAGTTTCATTTTAGCAGAAACTCAATGAGCTAAATGCAAAGTTATAATTGAATTTTTTTTTATTCTAATAAAATAAAATTAATAAATGTCTATTTCAAATAGTAAAACTTTCTTTGGTTAAAATGTAAGCCAAAAATAGCAGAGAACCTGCTTTCTATGCATAGCTTAGCTGATCCATTGATATCTGCACTTTACTCACCACAGATCGAGAAAGTGGTCAAGGAGGTCATTTAATCTTTTTTTTTTGGTGATACACATAAAAAAATGTCAGAATATTAGAGACTAGAGGTAGTAGCCGGAGGTAAGAGTAAAGTTCAGACATAAAACAGTCCCAGAAACAGACCATTGATGAATGCTATGCAGAATGCAGCTGAGACTATAGAACCTAGTCAAATATAAATATTTTAGCAACTTGCTAGTACATATGCAACAATACAGATAGGCAAAAACATGGAAAGTTTTTTTTGAAAAAGATTTAAGAAACATCTCCGATTAGATTTTATCAGAATTGATTAAATTCTCATATTTAATAATTTATAATATATTAAAATAATTACTAATATACATTCCCGTCACAGAGCCCTATCATAATAAAAGATGAGAATGTGCAAAATATTACACGCTTCATATGGAATAGTTTTAGAGATCTTTATGTTTCAATAATGGACTATTATTCTATGAAAAGTAGAGCATAGAAAGATATTATCTCCTATAGATTTGACAGTTATATTGAAATTACTTCCAGTTAGAAGAACTGAAACAGTTACCCAATTTGCAATTTAAATCGGAAATGAGAATAGTAGGCGGTAAACCATTTCAAATTTGTGAATGCAATCAAACATTTAAAGACAAGCACACATCAGGATTAAGTAATGAAATTATAAGAAAGGTGTAAACTCAGAGCAATTATAGATTATTAATTCGGTGATAGTAAATGTTTAAAAAGAAACAAAGGAATAGATGGACAAATGGGCAAGGAGAACATAAAAAAAGCAGGAGAGAGAGATAATTTAGAGACCCTTTAAAATTAATAGAAAATTGTTTGAAAAATTATAATTTATTATGGAACTATTAGAATGGAGCAAATAAATTACAAATTGGAAAAGTAAACAGTTGAATCAGGCTGAATTGTCCCATGAAACTTTAGAAATAGACATATAGAGAAGTAAGCTTAAATCCAGAATAGAAATCAAAGGAATCAACTAAAGAAATGAAAAAGAGAGTAGATGCATTATACTAATGAAAACAGACAAGCGTGAGGCTATAGCTGGCTAAGGTTTTGCAAATGTAAAAGAATACAACCAAATTTAATCGCAATTAAAATGGCTATCTAAACATGCTAAAATGACATGGTTAATAAGGTAACAGATGCAGATCTTGAAAACTTAGGATAATAAGGTATGGAAGCAGCATAAAGTGAGCATTTGTATGAAAGCAATATTACTAGATCAGAGACAATATATTAAAAATGTAGATGTAACTATTGTTTTAGGTCGTCAATATAGAAAATAGGCTAGATCAGTGAGTGCGTTGGAGAAATAATATTTTACGCTTGATTTTGAATTGCACAGTCAGAAATTAATAGAATTCTCTTATGATTTAAACCATTAGTAGACATTTTATCTGCCTGATTATATTACATAGATGTAAAGAGTTCAAATATATTTGGAACTATTAGAAAGGGTAGAAATAGTGGACCAAGAGAAAACTATATTAGCGCAAAAAGATTTGGAAATGATGGGAGAATAAAATATAGGCAAGATGATCAATGATTAAATTACAAAGGAATCTTGTTGCTTTATTTATTCATGGATTTTGGGAATAAAAATGACAAAATGAATCGATTAGTCTAGGATTTCTATATTAAAACCTCTAACAAAGATTGTAAGATAAAAGTATCAAAGATAAGAGCAAAGTAATCAAATTGATAGAGAAAGAGGTTGGATTAAGTTAGTTGTTTTTCCTTAATATTTCCCTAAATCTAAAATAATTTATAGGAGAATGTGATTTTTTCCAGAAAAATAAATAATTAACTTAAGATAGTTATTTTATATAGGATAAAAACGAAGATGTACATAGAAGAATAGTGAAGTTGCAAATGATGAATTACTTGCAAAAGTAAGATTGAAGTGGTGTAGAAAATAAAATTAGTAGAATCAACTCTTAGAGGTGAGAGAGATAATTTATAGTTTTCACAAAATATAATGAAGTTAAGTTTGATTTGATCTGGTGGAGGGGACAAGGATTTCTAAAATAGAAAACTAAAGTGAAAATTAATTTATTTGAAGTATTGATCTCAAGTCGAAAAATAAATACAGAAAGGCTTTGTTATGTATATATTTGAAATAAAATAGAATGAACTTTTGTTGCAATAAAATACTGAAGGGATTGCTAAATGTATTTTTACCATGATAAATTTTTCTGAAACTTTGAAAAATTCTTTAAATTTAAACCAATTTTTTTAGCATTATGGTTTATTCATGCTTAAAATATTAAAGTGGTAATGAATTTTTGATTTATATATCTTATATATTGAATTTGAAAGAGCAAAGTCAAGATTTGTTTTGCATGTAAAATTGATTAGGTAATTTGGAAGAACTTCTTGTACAAGTGACAGATTACCAAATAATCTACATAGATGGTAACAATACCATTAAAGTGAATTACTCAGTGAATTTAAAATTATAGATATCATAATAATAAGGTAATTACATTTTTTTTAATTTTATTGTATTGACCTATATTTTTTGGATTTTTAATGCAAGAAATAATAATAATTTTAGAAATTTTAGAATAAAACTTTTATATCTAATTTATCATCGAATTTTATAAGCCTTTATCTATAAGCCTACTATAATTCCCATTTCTATCTAAGGCTGCATTTATTCTCTGTTAAAAAACTATTCTCTTTACTTTATTATTGATTAGAATTAATTCTTATTATATCTAAAGAGTAATCATAATTAGTCATTCATCAAGTTTATTATAGAATATCTATTAAATAACATGGAGAGATAACGAATAGGAACTATAAAATTTCTGGTAACTATAGATTTTGAATGTAATTTCAAATCTATTTAATTGATCTGTGAATTCATTTTTAACCTACTTAATAATGGGTATTTGGTAGATATAAAAGATAAGAGGGACAGTTTCAATTTTTAAGCACCTGTAATGCTCATGTAATTCTTATGTAATAACAACGTTTCTATAAATCAAAGGAAATCACTACAAAATTATCATAAATCTTTTAATAAATCTCCTTCTATATTTCCTTTTTCTCCTTAATCAAGATTTTTATTAAATTCAATACTCTTTATTTAAAAAAGTCCCTTTAAATTTCACCAAAGGTAATTAAAATTATGAAATGTAGATCTCCTTATTTATGCTCATTTTTTGCCTTTATCTTAACTTTTATTTCATTACATTCTTATAATACTAAACATTAATTTACTTGTATAATCTCTACTCCATTAATTTTTTAGAATTATAAGGATTTATTTTATCATCCAAAATCGAATGTTTTTTTTATAGAGAGCCAAAATAATTCAATTAGTGACCACAATCAATTGACTAAATCTTAAATTTTACCTTTTCCTATATCTTAAATAATTTTGTTACCCTCTTAAATTTTTGTGGAATTAGAATAAAAGGAAATTGAATTATAAAATATGAAAGAATAATATTAATAAGTATTTTAAGATAATATAAATCTTAAAAATTAATTTGAGTAAGATAAGACTGCAATTATAAAGAAATATGAAGAAGAATGTAATATATTTTGATATTTGTCCATAGAAAATAAAGTAAAATAGGAATTTGATGAAAATTTAACTAAATAAAAATCATAATTATAACAAGCATTAAGCAAACTTGATTAAATTGATAAAGTTAAATTAGAATAAGAAAAATAAAATAAACTAGAATTAGAAAAAGTATATTTTTAATCTATTTATTATATTATTTTTAGATTCAATAATATAACAAATCATTATCATTTTCAAATACTTATAAGAACACTAATTGTTCAGTAACTGAAGCAGGAAAACTTGTAGCAGATATTGCTAATAATGGTAATTATAATTTCTGTCTTTGTGAATAAGCTATTCCAAAGACTGGGAAAATATAGTTTGCATTTTAAATGATAAGTGGATCATCTTTTATGNGGATTTTTAATGCAAGAAATAATAATAATTTTAGAAATTTTAGAATAAAACTTTTATATCTAATTTATCATCGAATTTTATAAGCCTTTATCTATAAGCCTACTATAATTCCCATTTCTATCTAAGGCTGCATTTATTCTCTGTTAAAAAACTATTCTCTTTACTTTATTATTGATTAGAATTAATTCTTATTATATCTAAAGAGTAATCATAATTAGTCATTCATCAAGTTTATTATAGAATATCTATTAAATAACATGGAGAGATAACGAATAGGAACTATAAAATTTCTGGTAACTATAGATTTTGAATGTAATTTCAAATCTATTTAATTGATCTGTGAATTCATTTTTAACCTACTTAATAATGGGTATTTGGTAGATATAAAAGATAAGAGGGACAGTTTCAATTTTTAAGCACCTGTAATGCTCATGTAATTCTTATGTAATAACAACGTTTCTATAAATCAAAGGAAATCACTACAAAATTATCATAAATCTTTTAATAAATCTCCTTCTATATTTCCTTTTTCTCCTTAATCAAGATTTTTATTAAATTCAATACTCTTTATTTAAAAAAGTCCCTTTAAATTTCACCAAAGGTAATTAAAATTATGAAATGTAGATCTCCTTATTTATGCTCATTTTTTGCCTTTATCTTAACTTTTATTTCATTACATTCTTATAATACTAAACATTAATTTACTTGTATAATCTCTACTCCATTAATTTTTTAGAATTATAAGGATTTATTTTATCATCCAAAATCGAATGTTTTTTTTATAGAGAGCCAAAATAATTCAATTAGTGACCACAATCAATTGACTAAATCTTAAATTTTACCTTTTCCTATATCTTAAATAATTTTGTTACCCTCTTAAATTTTTGTGGAATTAGAATAAAAGGAAATTGAATTATAAAATATGAAAGAATAATATTAATAAGTATTTTAAGATAATATAAATCTTAAAAATTAATTTGAGTAAGATAAGACTGCAATTATAAAGAAATATGAAGAAGAATGTAATATATTTTGATATTTGTCCATAGAAAATAAAGTAAAATAGGAATTTGATGAAAATTTAACTAAATAAAAATCATAATTATAACAAGCATTAAGCAAACTTGATTAAATTGATAAAGTTAAATTAGAATAAGAAAAATAAAATAAACTAGAATTAGAAAAAGTATATTTTTAATCTATTTATTATATTATTTTTAGATTCAATAATATAACAAATCATTATCATTTTCAAATACTTATAAGAACACTAATTGTTCAGTAACTGAAGCAGGAAAACTTGTAGCAGATATTGCTAATAATGGTAATTATAATTTCTGTCTTTGTGAATAAGCTATTCCAAAGACTGGGAAAATATAGTTTGCATTTTAAATGATAAGTGGATCATCTTTTATGATTGGAATAGGATTTAGAGAGATTATGTAGAAAAATAATTATTAGAATTGTTATAATGCTGGGTATGGGTATATAATTAAATAATGATAGAACATATTTAATATCCTATGGTGGTTATACTTGTTCTCATCATAACAAAGATGTACATGATAAATAATTATCCTTCGGATTTAAAACTAATGATATAATAATAATTGAAGTATGTATTGAACATAAATACATTAAATGGATTAGATAGAATAATCCATATGCAACAATTGTTGTAAATATAAAATCGATTATAAGTAGTTGGATATAGATACATCATAACAATTATATCCATGTGTGGGTGTTTAATATAATTCTAAAATAAAAATATTGGATAGTGTACCAGTTTGATGATGAAGTTTATTATTATANAATTAATTAATTTTTTTACTCTATCGTTATTCAATACAACTTTAGTCAATAATTAAATGGAATAATCTTAAAATTATACCATTAAATATCAATCACAATAAATGAAAAATAAACTATTAGATTTAATGAAGTTATGGCAGAATTGAGTTTTTCTTAAAAATATCCTCTTAAAATATTCTTAAAAAGTATTTTAAACAGTTTATAATTATTTCTTCTTTGAAATGGGTTAATCCTTCTTATATGATGTTTTAATATGAATAGTTATTTAGTTCTTTTTTATAAGAAATTATAATATGATCTAATTTAATTCAAACCCCCTCATTGGACCTAAACAAATCTTTATGTAACCTCTAGACTCTTATAAAAATCATGATATTGATGACACTTAATGCACAGATGACTTTACAAATAAATTTTTATCATAAAGCAATTACTCTATTTAAGAAACTCTTCAAAATTAGATTGACAAAGGTAATATAAAAAAAGGCACTAAGAAAAAGGTTAAGTTTAACCTAAATATTGTTCACTGTTAATTTAATCAGAAAGAGCCGGTTATTGCTATTGGAAGACTAGTTTAAAAGTTGATTAATTAGAGACCCAATCTTGAATGGGTTAATCCATAGATCTAAAAAAACTAATGATTCTAATATTCATATTTTTACTTTTCTTTACAATTCTAATTTCATAAAGAACCTTATCATTATAAAATATAACAATCAATTGATAACTTACCTAATAATATATATCGTTTTTCATTACATTTATTAAAAAGAAGATTAAAATTAGATTTAGAATTCTTTTTTTTAGACTAATTAAATCATTCGAACTAACCAATATTTTTTATTAATCTTAATCAATGAGATTATTCAAATTTGAATTTAAGAAGAATTTAAGAAATATTTAATCAAATTAATGAGACAAGCTCTGAATTAAATTTATTTTAATTACAATAAAATAATAAGAGATTTCTAAATGAACTATTCTCTAATTTTTATTTTTTATTAATTTGAATACATGATAAATATAATAATATATTTTAAATTTAACAAATTGATTTATATATTCAACATTAGCATTACTATGTTTCTTTTGCTTTCTCTGTACTTTTACCTGACCATAAATTAACATTTTTTTATTCATCTTCTTGCTTTCTATCTGAAGATGTTGAACTTTCTTCTGTTCTTTATGATGAAGATGATTACTTGATATTTTAAATAATATACTCTTTATTATTTTCTTTTATTTTTTTTATCCAATACTTATTAATCTCTTTTTGCCATCAATTTAATAGCAATTTTTTTAAAAGCTTCTTCAACTCCATCAGCAGTTTTTGCACTAGTTTCAAAGAACATCATATTTCTTTTTTAAGCATATTCTTGAATTCTTTCACTTTATACTTATTTTGCACTTAAATCTGATTTGTTTCCTAATAATAATAATTCTGCATTTTTCTCAGCATAACTTTCAATTTCATTCAACCAAAATTTTTCAATATCATCAAATGATTATTAGCATGTTGTATCATATACAATTACAATACTAAAATTAATTTATAAAATATATACGCATCAGCTCCTTTATAATAAGCATTAGTTATTGTTCTAAATCTTTCTTATCCAGCAGTATCCCAAATTTGCAATTTCAAACCTTTATTATCTACTTTTAATGTTTTGAATCTAAAATCAACTCCAATTGTTGTTATGTAATTTTCGCTAAATGTATCGTCAGCAAATCTTAATAAAAGAGCAGACTTTCCAACTCCACTGTTGCCGATTATAACTAATTTGAACAAATAATCGTATTCTCTGTTACTCATTTTGAACTTATTTTAATATAATAATATATCAGAATATTATCGATTTGAATTTGGTAATTAGTAATATTAGAAAAAATGATAATAAAAATCAAAGTATGAGATGAGTAATCATATTTTCGTAAAATAAGTTAAATCGAAAAAATTGAGATTAAATATTAGTGATATGTATCAATCTTATTAATGCAGATCTTCTCTTTTAATTTTTGATTCTTCAATTAACTAATCAATTTCATTTTTTTCAAACCATTTGATTCTTTTTCCTTCATTCCATTCACCAACTTTAACTTCTTTATTTTATAAGTAATAGATTCCAATTCCATGTTATCTTCCTAAAAAATAAAATAATAATAATATCAAACCTTATATCCAGGTTCCTATATATTTTCTACCATCAGACCAAACAAAGACACCTTTACCATGTTTTTTATCTTCTTCATATTCCTATTATTTATGAGGATCACTACACCAATATATTTACGACTATCTTGCCATATCATTTATCCATTGCCATGCATTTTACTATTTTTCCATTGTCCTTTATAAATTCTATTATCTGGCCAAATATGAGTTCCTTCTCCATGCAAATCATTTTAGAAGAATTCCCCTAAAAAAAATACTATAATAAGTATGTACCATCATATCTAGAACCATCAGCAAAGTTAAATATACCTTTTCCATGTTTCTTACCCTCAAAATATTAACCTCTATATTTCTATCCATCTGGCCAGTTTTCTTCACCTTTACCATGCTATTTATCGTTTTCCCACTAGAAATAGATTATAATATTGACTTCTCCTTCATATTTTGCTCCATTAACACGAATGTATATTCCTTTACCATTTGCTTCATCATTTTTCCATTCTCCATCATATACATCACCATCTGAATAAAATATTTTCCCCTAAAAATAATAGTTTA